ATAATACTCATTGAAAGTAGTCAACATGTTGATGGTGTTATAATACGTAAAGTAGAACATAAAAAATTTGAAACGAGTCAATAAAAAATATCGCTGCGCACGAGGAAACAAATGCATAATAACAGCTCTACAGTTCGGGTTTTGCATCAGGAAGTTCCGGGTATATATCCAAATATGGGAATGCTTTCTGACATAGCTTCCGAGCAATCTCTGCCAAATCATATCCTGCTTTATAATACAAAGTTTTAGGTGCGTTGAATTTGAAACAGTTGTTAAATAATCGTCGAAGATCCGCAACAAACAGTCTTTCCTATAAACAAAAACTATGAAACTGAGAAAAAATCGGATTTCCAGGTATTTTGCAGCATTATAATTTAATGCTAAAATATTAAGAAAAGCTTGCAATTATGTATTGTAGTGGAATAAAAGACTTACGTGCACATAATATTTTGCTCTACAGCGTTCATTCATTGTTTTTAAATCAGTAGGAAATTTAATATAACCATAGTATTCCGGGACTTCCTCCGCATTTACTGGTTTTAGAAATGGCCAAGCCGATTTGTCAGATCTCAGTTTATGAAGAATGTTTCGAATTTTGTGCTCAAGTTCTTCATGCGGAGCTAAGTCATCTTCACATTGTTCTAATCCAGGCAGTTCGGCATACGGAACTAGTGATCCTTCTAAAAATTATTTTTGAAAGTACAGAGCCTAAGATATCGCAAAATATTGTGATCATTTTTCAAGGTTTTGGAGATCATAATGCACTGTATGAAATAACTGATGACAACGATGACCAGATTAACTGTTTTAAAATCCAAATCACAATGATAACTATGCAGTACGAGTATAAACTATAAATATATAAAACACAAGGAAACTACACCATGCCACTGAAAGACGTTTTCCACTCCTGGGCATTTTTTCTCTTCCTCGAAAAAACTTTCTTTCACAGCATTTCGGTAAAGATCGTGAAGGCGTTTCAAGCACCCCGCAAAGTTTGTATAAACTACCCTGAAAATTATGTATAACTCTACGATTTATTCTAAGAATCAACTTGTCTTAACAAGATATTAGTTTGTGAAACACTTGCATAATAGTTAAAGCATACCATGGATGTAACTGGCAGCCCATTAATGTTGCGCCCTCGTAATCTTTGATATAACCATGATACTGTTTTTTATCCATTGCTATTTTTTCGGAAAAACCCTGTTTTTTGAAGTAACCAACAGCAAATTCATCTGCATATGTCAAGAAGTGATATATATGACATGCTCCCACATGATAATCTTTCAAATGATTCATCAAACGAGTACCATAACCTTTTACCTAAAAATTCGATTCCTTTATCATCAGAAAACTAACAAAAATATTATAGAACAACCAAAGAAATAACCTGTTCATTTGCAGTCACAGCGCAAAATACGATTTCGATAAATCCTTGCGCTGGAAACTGTCTAAAGCAAATACCTCCGATCACGCCTCGTTCTGAAAATAAACTAAGTCCATGGGAAAGAATATCAAAACAGAGGTAAAGAGGATATAATGCCCAAAGGCATTCTTAATCCAAAAGTTGCTAATACTACGACAGGCAACCTTTTTTGATGATGACCAAATTTTTGTGACGATTATCGAAAACAAGCCTCGTGATATACTCTTTAGGCATGCGAGGCAGTTGTGTACTGAACAAGCACTGCAGCTGCAATAACCATGTTAACTTTTGACGACTCTGATCCGCGTCGAAATTATTTGAAATTACATGGAAAGAAATGATACCATTGCATTCCTGGAATTTCTACAGATCTTCAAATTCAATTGTCAGCACGCAGGCAATCCTCAATCTCCGATGAAACGTCAAGCTTCCACGCACTGTCATGAAAATTTATTTCTTTCACTAAAGCTTCGAGAAAAGTTGAAAAAAAAAATTATAACAGATCGAAAATACGTCTAACAGCACCTCTAATCGCGATACCTCACTTCTAGCAACGTCTACTTCAAAAACATCCATTTTATGCATTAGAGGCTTCGATACCCTATATGTTAATTCCATACGAGCGATGAATCGCACCATTAAAGACTCATCAACATCACGTTTTTTTTCACGGTGTATGCTTGAATTTGATCGTTTAGATTCTGAAATAACTAAAAAAGAAATCAGATACCTGGAATACGTGGAATTCCCATAAAATTCAACTTTCAAACATGTTGATGAAACACTAAACACGATGCCCATTTTATTATTATAAAAATATTAAAATTAAAATAAATTCTCCAAAAAAGGTAACCTCCGAAAGTCAGGTCTGCTTCAAAAAAATCTGCATTTATATCTTGATGAGGTTCGGCAGCCCAAATGGAACATCCTTGTTCGACAGTAGGGCGAGGAACACCTTCAGGAAAAGTGAATATTACCGATGAATCCGTCAGTGAATCATCGCAATTCAAAATTTTTCTTAAGTCGGATGCAAAATTAATTACTTTTTCGATGACCTGCAAAAGTTATTGGTCACAGATAAAAAAAGCAGATCATGTTAACTGCAAGATCTGTAAGTGCTTTTTCTTTTGATTTTGTGATATGGAATTCGTTAAAACAAACCTGATGTTCTACGAAAGTAGCACGCTCTTTCAAGTCAGTTACGAAGAATGGAAGTAAAGTGATTAAAAATTTACGACCAAATATCTTAATAACACAATATGGTCGAAGTGACTCGTGTTTCTTGGGTAAGGAACAGAATCGCAACCATCTTGCATAAATGATACGATAAGATAGGATACTCGAGGAAGACACTAAAATTTTACAGATTACCAACAAGTACTTTTCAAGATCATACAAATTTGAATAAGGCAGGGGAAAATAAGTTATTTTTTCTGCTGCTGGCAAAATCTTTCTGATTCTCATTAACACATATTAAAATAAACTATAAGTTTAAGAGATATAATTATTCTTAATCATTTTTTGGAAAATTAAGCACTATTTCTCACATTTTTCCCGCATTACTCTTACATGCGGTATGTTCCAGTCATTTACTGCAAGTAAGAAATTTGAAGCTGTTTTTACAATATTTTCCAGTTCCCTGAAATTTATTTCACATTATTTTTTTTCATGGTAAAAAATGTTGCTGAGACCGATTCAAAAACAAATAAAAACGCAGATAAAATATTAAAAAGAATTAGTTCTAAAAATAGAAAGTATCCCCTGCTTATTGTATGTGCGGAGATGAAAGATCGCAGCTGAAAAATGTGCAGCAGGAAAGGGCTACAATCAAGGCGCTGTTATTCTCATAGATGTTTGATATGAGAATTTTTTTTCCTTTGTTGGGTTAATTAACGGGCTAAAATATTACTTTTGTTTTCCACTACTTTTGCCGATAACGAAATTCGAAACGATGTCTTCAATAGATATAGGCTCAAATGGTGGGAATCCAAATGAACATGTGACTAATCCCTCACAACTGCCGCTGCTGATTTCTTTCGTTAAAGCTCTCTGAGTTTGCTGAACGATCTGCAAATATTACATGTTCACTAAATCATCAGCTAATGAATTTTATCAAGCAAAGAGTGTTTACGTTTCTCTGAGCTGAATAAATCAATGAGAGAACATTAGTTCGAACCATTTGAATCACTGAAAGAATAATAAAACTATTTGAATATTCTAAACACCTGCAGAATTTCAGAGGATTCGTTTCCCATGAGTCTTTCCCGCATTTTTTCTGCATCTGACATCATCAACAATAACTTCTTAACATCATTTTTCTTCTTCTCCCGTAACTTGTCCAAATGTCTTCCTGTAAAGCACTGCAGGTGATGCTAGGTACAGAATCCATCTTCCAGTGAAAATGTGGCTGCATGTCGATACACAGTAATAGAGTAACATAGTGAGAGACTCACCATGCCATCTGTCCACCCATCCCATCAATTTCAAGTCATAAAAAGTTGAAATTAGAAACTATGTGAGCTAACAAATCGTCATTCTATCTTTTATTTATTAAAAAGAATGGGTACAAACCAAGCGAGTGTTTGCATGTTTCGCAAGGTGTCGAAAAGAGAACATCATCAAGAAAAGCACTGGTTATCACATATGGATTCTCACTACCACACATCAGTTTCCAACCACGACAATGACATAGAGAGCATCTTGTGTGCATCGCTAATTTTTTCCAGCTTTTCTCATCTAATAACTCGCCCTGGGGCAACAACTTCATGCCGCTGCAACAGGACAAACGATTAATGTGAAAGTTGGATAGAGTGGGATAAACAAATCCGAAGGCCAATGATCATTTCTTTGACCTAGAATTTTAACCACACACTCCAGTCCTTTCTGCATACCGCATCCTTGGCCACCTGCCGCAGAAGACTAACAATCGCCGCAGGACAGTCTAACCAAATTTAACGCCATTGTCGGTCATCTTATTAACAGCAACAATTCTGCTGCAATTCTCATACACATCTTTAGAAGGGGTCCTTTGTACTGTGAGCTGTTCGACTATAGAAATAACAAGAATTTTAGTTTATAGTGGTTGGAGAGATTTACTTCACTTTCACTATATTATTGAGGCTTACATTTGACTGGTGAACTTTTCTTTGTATGGAAACTTTCATATGCAGCAAAGTTATGGGTTTTCTGAAATTTCAAGAAATTATATGATACAATAAAGGTGATTTTTTGGAAAGATACGATAGTTGATTTTCTAATTTAACAAGCATATATTACAGGCACGAATGGAACAAAATGGTATAAAAACGAAGCTTGAGATAGAGCTAATCAAAGATGAAAATCCAATAGAATCAGAGACTAAAAATAACAGTGCTAATGAACTTATTTCCTTAACTTTGCCTACCCAAATGCGTTCTAACAAAAGGAAACATATCAGGTACCTCATTCGTCCGTTATTTTTATCAAAATCCATGGTTTTCATAGAATTCGTTTGAAATAAGTGCTGCAAAAAAAATTTAATGAACAGTCTCTAACCGGTTGAATATTTTATACTTCAGGACAGATTTCGATGAAATAAAGGTGTCATCCGATGCAGCTGAAGCACAAAGACGCGAAAGAGAGCGGTTAGAACGTCTCTCCAAAATGTATGAATCCGAAATCGGTAATTTAGTAGAAGAACAGTGCAAAGGAAAATTGAGTTCCGGTGAACATCCTTATGTGAAATTGGAACCAGTATCCAAGTGTCTGAAGACGTCGTCTTTGCGTGATGTCAAACCTTCAACGTCTTTTATGGACGATGATGTAATAGAACTAAGTAGTGATGAGGATTCCGATGCCGACTGTCGTCCACTTGGTTTGTCTTGAAGCTTGGTAGTTTTTGCTATAAAATTTGCATAAAAATTTTTTGTTGCTTCAAACAAAAAATGCTTATGTATTTGCATATTTCAAATTTATATTACTTGGTTTTGTCCTACCGGTGCATTACTGTACAAGTTATTCGTGATGTCGAGTGGACGTTATCAGGGTCGGAGGAGTAATCGTGGTTTTAACCCCTGTGGTTTTAATGAAATTTCTGGAAGAGGTAATTGTCCGGAAGCAGTGATTATTAAATCCCCTAACTTAATATAACTTACTACTATCTAAATATTTTATTGCTAGAGTTTTCTCAAATGAAAATTTTCAGACGTAATTCAACCACTGCCATTACGTCGACGGTCACCGTATCACAGGGTGTGTTTCGCTAATCGCTTTTTTTTCACTAACTTGTTGATTTAGCATTTTGGGAAAATTTTTCATTGAAAAAGTGCAGGTAATGCATGGAGATGTGACCGATGAGCTGCATCGTGTTGAACGTGAAAGACTGTGTAAAAAGCTGCTTACGGAGGAGGAACTTGAAAGTAAGAAATTAATGGGAGGTCGACTGCTTGTGAATCCTGGAAAGGCACCTGATGAACCTGATGTCTATGTCCCTTTTCATCTCAATGATGTGCTTCAGCCGCACCAGCTAGGAGGCATACGATTCATGTTAGTTCTTTATTTTTTTTATTTCATTAGAACTTCTTGTCCATACTTACTATAGAAATGGAATCTTTACCCCAGTTTTAGTCACAAAAGATGAGAAAGACCAAGGATTTATTGTTTGATAAAAAAAACTGAGCACAGCTGTAAAAGAAATTTGATTTAACATGATCGCTGTGTGCTTCATGTGTTCCTTCATATATTCTAAAACGTGAATTACAGGTACGGCAATATTATCGAAAGTGCGAAGGATTATGAGAAATCACCTGGTTTTGGATGTATTTTGGCACATGCAATGGGATTAGGAAAAACGATTCAGGTAATTATTTTGACTTAAAAAACTGCAAATTTTGGGAAATAATGTAACAATCAAAAATTTTTCTTCAGATAATTGCATTTACGGACGTTTTTGTTCGCACGACAAGTGCAAAAAAGATCCTGATCATTGTACCGGTAAATACGATACAGAATTGGTACTCCGAGTTTGAAAAATGGTTACCTAAGTGAATTCTTTTCATCTCTTTCTCATGAAATTATTCTACTAGCCCTTTTTCTTCTTTGTATTTATTTTATTCTCATGTCGTGTTCAGTATTTCTGGATTTTTAACCTGTTTTGACTGATTCAAAATTTTATGTTGTTATCCAGTTTCATTTCGATAACTTTCTCTTATTTACTTTTTATTTGAGGATTAATAAGTCGTGTTCTTGTTGTGGTTCGTCCTTATTCCATTTTGTAGCCATTTTATAAGGCAAAATCTCTATTATGTTTTAGATTCCATCGACAGGCTTTTTTTTTGTTATAAAATTTTGATATAGATTGCTTTTAAAATCGGCTGTACAAATTATCCTGTTAAACTAAAAGTGAGAAACATGGAGTAAAAATTGACTTTTTAATAACTTCTTATTTGCTATAGTGAGCGATGGATAACGTGACTAAGCAATGATAAGGAAATCTACAAAAGCTATGTGTGAATCATAATGAAACTTTTTAGCCTGATTTTCACTTGTGTGAATCACCACTCACTATAGCAAATAACCTGTAAATTAATTTGTTGGTTTTCTCTTATCCTCATCGTTTTTCAGTTTGTACAAATACCAGTCTTATTTTTTTCCAGCATAGTTACTGAAGCAGGAGAAAACGTACGTCCATTCGTAGTTTGGCTTCTGGGTGATGCAGTAAAAACAAATGAACAACGCGCAGAATTACTGCGTTTGTTTTCAAATATTTTAAACGAATCGGTAGAAGAAGTTGTAGGAAGGTTTTATTGTGCTGAAATTTGTAATGATGTAAAATTTGATCTTCGGTTGTGAAATGTTAAAGAAAACAGCAACACAGTAACTGGTAGGGAGTAAATTTGTGAAGGAACATGGAAATGCTGCAACTAACTGCTGGGGAAGTGGAAGTATTTAGTATGGTATGAGTTTTTTTTAGCTTTAATAATTAAAAGGTAATAGTACTGGTAGTGCTCGCTTCAACGATTTTCGTAAAAGTTATGCGTAGATTTCAATGGATTGTATTATTCAGAAAAATGGCACACAGAAGGGGGAGTTTTATTAATTGGTTATGATATGTTTCGTTTACTGGTGCAAATAAAACCAAAAAAACGAGTTTCTGGAAGACCGGGCAAGAAAACAGAAGAAATAGTTGATCTGGAAAAGGAAGAATTGGATGCAATGGCGCTATGTGGTAAGTGTTTACTGTTTATAAGATTGTAAATGGATCATCATTTAGAATTGATGAGCTGCCAATTAGATATACTTTGCAGCAGCCCGAGAAGCTTTATTGGATCCTGGTCCTGATTTGGTCGTGTGTGACGAAGGACATCGCATAAAAAATGAAAGAACAGGCATAGCAGCAGCTTTAAGCGCCATAAAGACAAGGTAGTCTATAAAACATTTGCGAAAGATTACCACTGAGCGAAACTAATATTAGCAACTGATTATGAAAAAAAGGAAAATGTATTGGGATAAAAATTTTTTATACATAGTTTAGGTCATTGAAGTTTATTCTGTATTTTAATTTTTTTTCTAAGAAAAGCTTCAATTTGAGAAATTATTTCACAGATTACTAATAAATAGTAAGCATAATGCGTTTCCTGATGATGCCTAAACCACTACATACAATCGTGCGGTGACTTCCTAATAAGAATTCAATCGTCAAATCACCTATTATAATTCGCTGGTTAATAGAATTCTCAGTAGGTGATAGAATAATTAAATGCTTCTTGTGAATCTACTTTTCGGACTGATATGAGATATTTTTTTCAGGCGTCGGATTGTGTTAACGGGTTATCCCTTGCAGAATAATTTGATGGAATATTATTGTATGGTGGATTTTGTAAGACCTCATTATCTGGGATCGAAGAAAGAATTCAGTATTATGTTTGAAAAACCAATAAAGAATGGGCTCTGTATTGACTCTACACCATCAGATCTCAAAATTGCCCGTCAACGCACTCATATTCTCGTTGAATTATTGAAAGGATTTGTACAGCGGTATTAATTCAAAATGCGAACATTTTGTTCTTTGTAATCTGAGTATCGCTTCTACAACATATAGAGAAGTACAAAATTACAGGCGAACACATCATTTGTTAAAAAATATTCTTCCGCCGAATTACGAATTCGTTGTACTGGTGCGTAAAAGTCCGATACAGAGAATGCTTTATCGAGCATTTTTGCAATATGCACAGAACGAAATTAGTGTTAGCGGAACTGCAGTCTTCAATCCACTTAAGGCATTCGCCGTTTGTTCAAAGGTTTATTTTTTTCACTTGTTAAAACCCCGTATTTTTTAAAAATTTTACTCACACGTTTAAAATTTCAAAGAGCAATAGCATACCAATATGTTCATTAAAGATTTGGAATCATCCAGACATCTTGTATGAAGTTTTCCAAAAGAGAAAAACTGAATGTGAAAGTGAAATCAGCGGAAGTTATGCACAACTGGCGGCAACAGAAACAGTCACAGATGATTTGACGGGTAAACATGTTTTACTAAAGGGTTATTATAATCAGATTATACCTTGATATTTATTGTGAGATAAATCCAAAAATACTTCAGATTCAGCTTTATCGCTTGCTTTAATTGATTCGTCAACGTTGCCTACTGTATTAAGCGACCCGACAACATTACAGTCTTCGCTAGATAGCTTCAATTATGATAGTAAATCTTTTTTTGACGAGAAATTCTCTGCTGATAATTTGGATACAATTTTGCAAGACACTGGAGGTGTGTGTCTAGCAGCA